ATCCGATTTTTTTTAGTAGCCCACAGCAGAGATATGATTGATAATAATGATTTAAATTTTGATACTCAACAAATTTTAAATAATTTTTTAAAAAATGAATGTCGAGATTTTAGTATTTATAAAGAATATCCTGATATAAAATTGTTATTCATAATATAACATTATAATCCCTTCAAGCGCCTTGGTAGAAAGACTTAGTGTAGCTAAAAATGTCTTGTGCACGAGGATATCAGACCAAATTTTTGAAAATATTTTATTACTGAAATATAATAATTATTTAATCATATATTATATGTATGCGCCGCAGCCGTTGATTTTTGACCATGCCGACGCCGCCACCAAAAATGTGTCGGCGCTCAACATGCCGCCGCTGATGTAAAAATGTGGCGGGGTGATACATATTTATTATTAAAAATAATATTTATTTTATATATTATTTATGAATTGTAATTAGAAGAAAAATAATATTTAATATTGTTTGAATTATTAAAAAATGCAATTTTATTTTTTAAAAATAAATATTATTTGCTATAAAACATTTAATTTGTAACTTAATACACGTTCCTTCACTTTGGGCAGATCTGTGATCAACGTGCTAAATAAGATAAGATTATGCTAGTAATTTACAGAAAAGGTATTGAAATATTATTATATATTTTATTCTTTTAATTTTTGATACTTCAATTATTATATAAGGAATAATACAATATTTTCTTAATGCAATCTACAATTCATCATATAAAATTTTTTATCATAAAAATTTTAATTAATGATTTTTATTTTATTGCCATTATAACTTATATAATCATAGCAGGACTAAAACAATTAGAATGCAGCATTGCTAACAAATTATAGTATAGCCTTGTAAGCAAAACATTCTTGGAAAAATTTTGAATCCTTAATATTAAAAACTGGCACAAATGATAAGAGAAACAATGTTGCTGCAGATAAAGTCTTTTCTAATAAATGCTTGCAAATAGCACTTGATAAAGATTGTGAGAATGAAAATAATTCTTCAAGAGTAAATTTTTTGATTAATTTTAAAATATTTGCGAATTTTTTAATTAGTTATCCAATCAAATCTTTTTCAAAAAATATCATCACATCAAATAATAAGACTTTTAACTTTGCGTAATAATAAAAATCCGATTTTAATACAAAACTTATTAATTAAAATGGATCTTACGTGACCAATATTCTTCTTTATAAAGTCTCTTTTTTTAACAACAATAAATTTTCTTTTTTGAACACACTTTTATTTTTCTTCTACCACAAAAATATAAAATCGAAAAAAAAATATGGATTCTTTATTTTCTCTTTTTTCAACTATATATACATTTCTACAACACAATAATATAATTATAAAAATAAACAAAACAAAAATATATTATTATTTTTTCCAATACCATATATATATTTTTTTTTTCCTTTTTGTTTTCTACAATATTATAACGAATATCAAATATCGATTTATTATTATTTTTTTTAACTATTTTTCTATCAAGATTTCATCTAATAATAACTACAATAATCGACTTGTACCTTTTTGCTATAAAAATCTATATCCGCTAATCTTTTTCCCACTTACGAGTTACGACAAAGATATTAAATATCTAAATATAATTTAAAATTAACAAAAATCCTATAAATATTTTATTAAATAGAATGAAGAGGATTTCAAATTATTTAACTCCGATTGAGGTTTGGTGCATGAACTTTTAAATTTTCTTAAAACCTGTTGAATTTTTATCATCCAAAAAAGAGTTACTATAAATTTATCCTAATCAATTCGTAGTAAAATAAAAAATCATTTAATTGTAAAAGAATACGAGTCCTCCCATAGCATCCCTTAAACAAAATATGCTTAATAAATTTGATCATAGATTTCCAATAACCGATTTTCAGGTAGTATTTTAAATACATAAATTAGTTATTTTTTATATTATTTCACTTTGTTTTATTTTTTTACTTAGGGGTTAGGAGCATTTTTGGATCCTCGTTTTCATTCTATAAACATAGTAAATGAATATTTAAAGGATAAAAATATTATTCCGATGCAATTTTTACGTCAATACGCTACCTCTCTGTTGCCTTACACCGACTAATTAACCGAATGTTAAACAACGGAAGTTGCTTCAGAATTCGATTATCTTCAGTCATTGGCTACGAAAAATTCTTTTATTCATAACAATAATCTGGAATAACAAGACTATTTAACTAGTATAGAAAAAGAGAGTTATTCAGTATTTTCGCCTTATAATTTAGAGATAAAAGATGACTTAGATTTTTGGAAGATAAGAGCATTGGATCTTCCTAAACTTCAATATTATCTAGAAAGGTCCTGTGCATTTCAGCTACGAGCACACCCAGCGAGTGTGTATTTTCCATACCTGGGCTCACTCTGAACTCAAAAAGATCATTATTATGGATTTTTTTTAAAAAAACACCCGGGCCAGGCTGTATTTTTTAAAATAGCCTATATTTGAAATCGTTATTATTAGCTATAAAAATCAAAAATAAATATAATTTATTTTAAAAAAATCCTGGCCGGGCCTGAAAATTTTATTTAAAAAAAAGCCGGGCCGAGCCTGAAAATTAAAAAAAAAAGCCGAGCCGGGCCTGAAAATTTTTTAAAAAAAACCCAGGCCGGGTCGTAAAAAATCTTTAAAAAAAATCCGGGCCGTGCCCTGAAAATGGTACTTCTGCAGGCCTCTGTTATTCTTCTTAAAAAAGAGAGTGTTCTCTCATTAGTTTACTAATGGGAAGAGTTTATAAACCTTTTTAATACATTGGGAATTTAATCTAAAATGTGTTTGAAATAATGCAGAGCATCCATAGCATTTTTGGGGACTATATCAACCATAGTTAATCTTATAAACATAGTTATTCAGCTAGTAAGGCATCGATACTTTAACATCTTCATGATAAAAATCTAACAAATATTTATTTTTCTATCACCATCTGAAAAAGGTTGGGAAGGCTTTTGTGGAAGTAATATTTGTAGATTAGTAAGTGCTGCATGATGAATTAAAAATTCATTTATTTGGGTTATAAATGTATCTGTATTTAAGATATACTCTTCTACTGATCCTATATTAATGTTTTAACGATGAGCTTGCCTTGCTACAAGTCGAGGGAGACAAATATTAAACACGTATAGCTCTGCTTTAGACTCAACAATAAAATATGAAATTCTTCATCAACATTAGCCCTTTCCTTGAGTTCTGATAAAATGCTCTCTGCTATTCTCATCTTCTTAATCAAATCAATGTCATGTTTTTGAAAAGTAATATTTAAAATAGTTGTATAATTCAATAATACATTCTAATGAGAAATAAAAGTTGAAATAAGCTTTGAATCCAATAATTTTCTTGCTTCTGAGGAAATATTTCTTTCAGGCCATTGTGATATTTCAGTAATAATTGGTTCTTCTAACTCTTAATAGCTTTTAGTGCTTGATGGAAGAGGCTCTATCTCGTTGGACAAGGTTGCAATTTTTTTTCCCTGTTGGACTTGAAATTTCAGAAATAATAATTATTTGACTAGAAATTTGAAAATGGTAGATAAATATTAAGCCACTAAAAATTTGAAAATAATAAGTAAATATTACGCCGAAAAACTTGAAATCGAAATTAATTGATAAAATAAATGAATGTGATAATAAATGTAATAAAATTTATATTTAATATGAGATACGAATAAATACTAACAAATATAAATTAATATATACAATAATATTTTTGAAAAATATATCCGGCATCTGCATTTTTTGGCTTTGGGGGGGGGGGATTTGTCCCCCTGTCCCCTCCCGCTGCGTACGCGCCTGGATAATTATAACTTAATAAAATCATTAAATTATAAACATAATAAAGCATAAATTTTATTTTAAAAGTGTTTTCAATAAATTTATAATTTTAATTTAAAAAAATTAAGTTAGAAAAATATTTGACTCCACCGCGCCGCCGTCTATTTTTGTGGCGGCGCCTAAATCGATTCGCCTCCGCCAGTCGATTGTTTTAAAAAAAGAAACGCCGCAGCCGATAATGCTGTCGGAGCACATGTCTAATTATATGATTATATTAAAATCTAAAAATCATTATTTTAGTTATATTTTGATAAATGTGATGTAGTCAATAAATTTTAGCTCATTTCATGCATTTTCACAATAGAATCCTAATTTAGGCTTATGCAAAGCTTATATAAAAGAATAATAAAAATGGTATCTGTATCTAGATACATTTTAAAAAGTGTATCTGTATCAAGATGAGATATTTTCATCATTATAAACATTTTAAAAATCTGCAATAAAGTTATTTAAATAGATAATTTATTTTTTTATTGATTTATACTTCTATGATGTCTGGATCCATATCAGACACTATTTTTTATCATATATCTTTAAAATGAATATAAATATGACTTATAAGATTTTCCAAGAAATTTTCAATATAAGAAAGGAAACTTGATGTTTAATATTTTAGCTGATTAGATGAAAAACTAATATAAAACTCGGCTCAACATCGAATATTGCATAAATTTAAATAAAATAGTATTGAATTTTAATTAATAAATAAATAGATTTATTAATATTTAAAAAATAAATTAATTTATACAATAAATTTAAAAGAGCGGTGGCGCTCCTTCACTCCAGCCCTAAAAGAAGCTAATTACCGCTCCCGCTCGTGATTGGTGTTTTTGAAAAAGTGTAGCGTTTGGACGGTTGAATTTAAATACATTAATAGTAAAAAATTTACCAATTACTAGTAATCAGCTTTGGATGTAGCCTAAGATACACATTGCATATAAAAAATATAATCTTGGCTCAATAGATACCCAACCCACTTACCGAATTATAATATAGATTGTAGTTATTCTTTTTAATATTATTATTTTGTAAATAATTGCAATTATAAATTACTTTTTTCCTTTGTAATCAATTATTATCACATAAAAAAGAAATTTATAATTAAATTATTATAGATAAACGTATATAGAATTTAAAGAGGCCATTGAAATCAATAAAAAGGAAAAATAGCAATCACACGGAGTTAAGAATATGTACAAAATATTATAAAACATTTTTCAAATTCGTATAAAAATGATAGAATTAAAATTGATAAGTAAAATTTTGCATATAAAATACATCTAATATAATTCTAATTTTACAATAATTTGCCTGTAATGAATGTAAAAAACAGTTATAATTGTAATATTTAATCGTAAAATCCCTATGGAATATTTTATTAAAACAGTTTAAACCACTGTATTAAAATTTATTAAAAATTGTTCAAAATTTAGGTTTTGCTGAATCAAGCCGGTCAATATTAGTTCAACGTTGTGCAAATCTATAAAATAAATAATTTTTAAACCAATTTAAATTACTAATCTATAGTAATATTTATTTTCGCGAAATGCCAAGATAATCATAAAAGATATAAAAACTAGATAAATCCGCCCTTTTTTCAAAGAACTTATAAATAGCATTCGTAATAAATGTATTAAAAATCTTTGAAAAATTTGATGAAACAAAATACCAACTAATTTAGTGAATAGTTATATTAATTATTATTTATATTGTGTAGAATAGATTTACACAATACAACATACAAATTTTAAAAAACCTATATCTTGGGATAGGTAATCCTTGCATAAAGAAATATCTTCTGGACATGATATGATAACCAATTTGACTTTGTCCTAGTTAGTATAAAAAAAGAGGAATAATTAAAAAATATTTAAGGTAAATCAGAATCTTAAAAAAGGTGTGCATTTGCAATTTAGACCTATTCAAAATAAATAAAATATTTGATACAAATAATTGGTTTGTATCAATTAAATCATGTAAGTTTATTGGTTTTGTTAGTGTAGGGATTAGCTTGGGTTCTAGACCAGAATTAAATATGTATGGTAGGTATTTAAATATTTGTTTTATTAATAACGTTACAAGTAAAATAAAATGTCTTAAAAATATAAAATGAAAGTTAATCTAAAAGTAACTTGCATATAAAAATAACATAAAACATCTCTTGTTAAATAAAAATTAACATACAATTATACCTACAAAAATACAAATTCATGGAATTATTTTTATTCGTTTAAATCGAATAATTCATTATTCGTATTCGTACGAAAAATAAAATTATTCGATTCGATTCGAAAATTATGAATTAAAAAAGATCGAATATTAAATTTACTTTGTAAAATTTTTCTACGGATAAAAGACAAATTTTATTAATAAGATAAAATAGAAGCATACATATATAGTATATTTATATATAATGTAGAAAATAGTCTTTCGCCATTTTAGATAAAACGGGAAAACCATCTCTGTGTAGTTTCCACCATTCTAGTGGGTTTTTATTCGGCTTGATTCTTGCTTCTTTAAAATTTTTCAACTTCAGAAATTGGCAAGACATTCAGTTTAAAAATTAGGTCCATATTTGATTGTATTAATGGTTGACTGATTGATACATCTTTATTTTATAATCATCGAACATTTTCTTAAAATTATTTAATATAGTTCGTTGATATTATAAGACAGGGGTAGGCACTCAAAAAATTCAAATTTAAGTCTGGGATCTAATATAGCAGATATAATAGTTTCCAAACTTATTAAATTATAATAAGACTACATTTTTTGTTGAGCATTAATTGCGTTTGTATTATCAGAAACTTAAGCTCAATTAATGAAATATAAAATGGGATTATAAAATTTAAGTTATTTAATCCAAATATGTATTTTAATAAGGTGCTTAAGTAGGTCCAAAAATGTTTGGGACAAAATTGCTCATAAAAATTTTTAAATGCTAATTTAAATTTTAACATACCAAAAGTAACTTTTTAAAATTTTACATTTTCACTAATAACTTTTTTTATAAACGTTGTTAAGACTTAATATTAATTCTATATGATAAAGAAATATATATTTTACAAAAATATTGATATTACAATTTATGGTAATTTAATATCTTAAAATTAAATTTTAATAAATTGTGAAGACCTGGGGCAGGATTTGGCAGGGTAGGTATTAGTCATTTTTAAGCAGTGATTATTTTGAATAAAAAAAATCCAACTAAATTTATAAAAACATTGGAAGTCACTAGTATTTCCGGGTGATATATGTGATATAGATGAACTCTAATAAATGACAATTTATTTTTATTTATTTACTTAGAATCAACACTTTTATATAAAAAATTTATAAAAATCTAAAAATAAAAAAGCGCTACACGTAACGTGAAAGGATACTAGGCACCCCGGTTGTTTTTCATAAAACTTAAATTTTCATTTTTTTAAATTTCGCATTAAGTAAAAACTAAATGATTTTTTTCTTAAATATTAATTTCTGCCGTAGAGATATAAGTAAAGAATAAAATTAACATGCTAGAAAAATTGCTTTTTCTATTTTTTAGCACTTCAATTTTTCATGGACAAACGTCCCCGGTCTCCCCTACTATAAATTATTTGAGTCGAATAATCTCGATAATTTCGATGAATAATATATTTTCCTTATTCGAATAATTGTGTTATTAAAATTCGTAAAATATGAATAACAAATATTTCGTTTTAGGCATATATACAATTTACAAAAATAAAAAATTTAACGATAATCTATAGAGATCTGCAAAGTTAGGCCCGGTCCAATTCCATTTAAAATAATCGGGTTCGGGCCGGGCCTAATATTTAAAAAAAAAATTCGGGCCGAGTCGGACTTTGGAAATTTTTTTAAATATATCTAAATTTATCAATTTTATATTGATTTTTTTATGTAAAATAAAAATATTTTATTTTATTTATTGAAACTAAACGACATATAACATGTCTTTTATTTTGAGTAATTATAAAGATTAATTTCTATATTTAAATAAATTCGGGCCGGGCTGGGTCGGTAAATTTTTTTAAAAAAAATTTCGGGTTCAGGCGCTTGAAAAATTAGGCCCGATGCAGATCACTAAATCTAATATTATCAATATAACATTGTAAATTGTAAAATTTAACGATAATCTAATATCATCAATATAATTGCAAATTGTACATATTAATACAGTTAGATAAATACAAATTGCAAAGAGAATATTTCAAAAAAGAAAGGAAAGGTGGTCGAAATTTTAGGTGATTTAAAATTCTTATTTTGAAGCCCGACCATGGCCTGGAGTTTTTAAAGTTATTCTAAATAATCTTGTCTGTATTTTGCAAATTGAAATTTGTTATATTTCAAACGTTATTTGAATAATATATTTGTTATACAATCATATAGCGTATTTATATTTAATATTATATAAAAGGGCAGTAAATTGAATAATTATAGAATAGTATTATATAAGAATTGAGAATAAAAAGTTACCATTGACCATTTATGAAGTTTCTTCAAGTTATAAAATTGGCAACGAGAAAAAAAGATGTGGTCTTAGGTCAAATTAAATATTAATTAAAATTGAAATTTTTTTTTTGTTTTTTTAAAAAAATATATATATATTTTTAGAAATTATGGGTGATATTTCAAAAATTACATTAAACGAATTTCGTAAAGAGGAAACTTCTTTAGATGATTATTTGTATCAGAGACTTGCAGAGGTACCATTTGCACGGCCCGGCCCGGTTTTAAATTTTTTAGGCCCGGCCCGGATATTTTTTAAAAAAAAGATTTCAGGCCTGGCTTGGAATTTTTTAAAATTATATTCGACCTGGTATATACAAAAATTCACCTATACGGTATTTTACCATATTTTTCAGAGAGTATTATCGCTTATTATTTAAAAAATACATGTAAAAAGCTAATATTTTGAGAATATTATATTGAATTTATAAAAATCATAAATCTGTTATTTATAAAAATGGATATTTTGAGCATATACTATATTTTATATTGCATTTTAAAAAAATAAAACTAATATTTAATTTATAAAAATGGAAAATATTTTGAGAATATAATATATTGTATTTAATTTACTATTTAATTTATAAAATAAAAATAAATCGCTATTTAAAAAAATGCATGTATAATAAATAGTATTTTGAAAATATAATCTAATTGCACAATATTAATATAATTTATTTTATAATATAAATTTTTAACAAAAGAAGATAATTGTATTATATAATATTGTAAAAAAAAATAATGAAAAATGTTGGATTAAAAGCTTTCATGACTCAAGGTAAATATAATAAATGTAAATATTTGACAGTTTGCAAAGTAAAAAACCAGCATGATTGACGAAACCCTATACTCAAGAAAGATATTAAAAATTCTCAAATTATCATGAAGAAAGAGAAGCATATCTACCTTTTCAGGTTGAAGATTACTTCTTCTTTCTTCAAGAATTCTACCAGTAGTGGAAAAATTCCGCTCACAGCTTGCACTTAAAGCAGGAATTGCCAATTTTGCTAAAATTGGAAATTCGCTTTGATGAGCCGCCCACCACTCTAACAAATTATCCACCTTAAATGTTTTATCTATTATTTATGTAATTATAATATTCATCATCGGGTATTGACATATTACCAGAATTACCATCGCCCAATTTGTCATAAAAAGATTCAGTTTGTTTAACAACAGTCGTAATTTGACTGGTCGATGGTATTTCATTTACTTCCTGAGCCTCTTGTAATTTAATATAATCTTTTATATAGTTTTCCGTCATCTTGCGATCTGTCCCTGACTACATACGTAATTGCTTGAATTTGGGACAGAGAAAAAGAGAAATAAAATGATACTTGTGTAAAACAAATTTTTCAATTAAAAAATGCTTTATATTAAGTAAAATCAATTTTATTTCTCCTTTTTAGCTTTGAAAGGTATTACAAACTTTAATAAGTGATATTCCTTTATTTGATTGTTTTGGTAAAATATATTCTAAAAATTTAGATATGAATTAAAAAAATATATTAATACTTTGAATAAATTTGCAGGAAATTAATAATTAGATCGATCTGTGGGTGTTAGGTAGTGTTAACCATCACCCAATATTATATTAATCATAACTATAATATAATATAATCTTATAACCATTAACTCATAATGTAAAAATTTTTATAAAAAATATTAAGGCCCGGCCCGGGTTTAACAATCTTAGGCCCGGCCCGGATATATTTAAAAAAAATTTTTTTAGGCCCGGCCCATGTATATTTAAAAAATTTAAAACCGGGTTTAGGGCCGGGCCTGCAGGTTTCTGATTTGTATTATATTAAATATATTTTGAATTAAAGAATATTCCTCAAACAGACGCAACAAAATTAGCATATAGGGAATAAATATAATAACAGATATAAAAAAATTATTATTTCCAAGGAAAATTGATGATGTGGTATGGGCAGATTTATAAAAAAATGCAAAACAACTTTTTAAAGACGAAAGAACTGTCTTGGCATCAAAAATTAATTTTATTAGATTAAGTCGCGGACCAACAGAATCAGTATTGAGTTATCTTAATAATATAAAGGAACTAGCCCGTAGATGTGAATTTGAAGATAATATAGAACTATAAATTCGTAATCAATTAATCGCTAGATTAAAGATGTAGCAACTAGATAAAGAACTACGATTAAGATACTCAGATACTAGAGAAGAGCAACAGTTAAAATTAAACAAGGTTATAGAAATGGCTTTAGCGATGGAATGAGAAAAAAATAATAGCAAAATGGTTTATAAAATCAAGGAAACGATTCCACAATGATAATAATCGATAAAATAAAAATTA